TCTATTTTTAACTTGGTTCTCCACATTTGGTTTGTAGGTTAAATACGTTTTACTATAGTGCCTACCATAAATATTGCAAATATTTACCTTATTTATCAAAGTCCAAAGTTAAAATTTTTATCCTTCTCTAAAATAATTACAGGAACTTAGAAGATTTTAATTCCAGATTCTCATCTTATTTTATGCTATTGTTTTGTGGATTCCAACTGTACTTTTATTTTTATTACTTAACAATATATTAATTAATATTGGTACATGCAATCATTGTTTAAATTTTCCCCATATTTACTTTCACTGCATTTAATCCTTCTTACACCTCACATTCCCTCTGAACAAAATATGTCTTTAAAAATTTCTTTTTGTGATGATTTATTGGTGGCAAAGTTTCTCAGCTTTTGTCTGAAAATGTCTTGATTCATTACATTTTTTTTTTTTTTTTTTTTTTTTTTTTGCAAAACACAAAATCCTAAACTGATAGTTACTTTTTCTCAACTCAGTGACATTTCGATTTCTCTGTTTGCGGGCTTCCACTGATGCTGTTGTGAAGTTAGCTGTAAGTTGCCTGCATTTTTGAAGATTTTAAAGGGTATTTTAATTTTTCTTTATGTGCAGTTTAGCTACAATGTGTTTAGTGTGGACTTTTTTTCATTCATTCTTGGTATTCACTGGGTTTCTTGACTCTGTGGATTAATGTCTTTCAAGTCTGGAAAATTTTCAGCTATCAATCATCTTCTTCAGTACTGTCTTGCTTCCCTTTCACTTTTTGAAATTCTAGTTAGATGTATGTTAGACTTCCCCACTTTATCCCCGTGTCTCTTAACTCATTATCTATTTTCCATTTCTGTCTCTCTAGGCTGCATTCTAGATAATTTCCTAAATTAGTCTTTCCAATTCATTAATTCTTTCTCAGCATGTCTAATGTGCTGTTATGCCTGCCCATGGAAATTATAATTTCTATTATTCCTAGAAGTTTATATTCTTTTATTCCTAGAAGTTCTGTTTAACACTTCACTAAGTTTTTTTTTTTTCTCTCTTTACCACATTTCCAATCCTCTCTTAATTCCAGAAATTAAAGTAAGGGCTCTGATTTTATATTCTAGGCTTGACAACTCCAGTTTCTGAATGAGTCTGACTCTCTGCTGTCCTGTTTGTTCCTGTTCTTGCTCACAGTCTCGATTCCTTTTTGTAAGGGTTTCTTTTCTCATTTTAAGTTGCTCGTTTCCCTTGGTGCTCTATTTCTATTATTATTCATTCCTCTCCATTTTCTTTTAATGGTATTACTATTAGCTGGATTCTCACTGTTCCACCTTGACTGGCTGTGTAACTTCAATCCCTTTAATATTTTCCATCCGTGTTTTGCTTTATATTCAGAAAAAAGAGTTTTCAACTTTATATTCAAGGTTCCAGACTTCAGCTATTACCATTCCTCCTATTGTTTTTTATTTTGTCAATCACATTTTTAATTCTCAAATGTTCATTTGTTCTGTAATTATCTATTTTTCATATCAATCTGTTCTCTTTTTATTTAACACAAATAATTTCAAATTTTTCTAAGGACTGTAATTATGCTTGAAACTTTTTTCTCCTTTTCCTTGAATTAGATTTTCTAGATTTCCCTTGGGACTAGTCTTTCTTTTTGGTGCTCACTGATTATATATTCATATTTTTAAATAACAAATTGGTTGACAAAGGTAGTTGGCATGGCTCTCCTGTAATAGTGTACTGATCCATTTTTCTAACGTATCTATTCCTTGTAGGGAAGAGCTGATATATGGCCCTTTGTAAGTGGGCAGGGTATGTTGACTTGAAGGATTCAGGTAGGGCTCAAGAGAAGAGAAACCTCCAGGCAAGCTGCAAGCCAAAACCCATCCTCCACTCACTTCTCCAAGAAAAATATAAAGTACTGTACTTTAGGTGTGTAGGATTTTTGTGTATTTCCCTCAAGAAACAGCTGACTCTTCTGCCATTACCTCATGTCATCTATTTTTAAGATCTGGTATTATCTTAGAATCTGTTATGTTTCTGAGAAAAAAAATTACCCTGAAAGCTCTGTGTGGGAATCTGCAAGGATGGGGGTGGAGGGGTAATGGTTGAAGGATGGCCAGGTGTTTCCATCACTGCAAGCAATTTGCACTTGTTCTCTCTCGGGGTCCAGTGGAAATGTGGTCTTTCCTGGGGCTCCTGGGGGCTATTCCCACCACCACTAAAGCTTGTTCCTGTTTGTCTGATCTTTCTTCCTTTGCTGTGTCATGACTTTCCCTGTTGAAGATTATTTTTCAGTAGGGTCTTATTACTTTTGGCTTTCCAGAAACACAGCTAAATTTCTGGTTTGCTGATGACACTTCTTCCTGGTTTCGGTGCTATTTTGGATTTATTTCCATTTCTACGGCTTCATGGCTGTTAGGTGGGAATTTTGAAGGGAGAGGAAGAATTGCTTAAGCGCAGTCTCTCAACTGAATAGGATGTTCTCATAATTTTTAAAAATGTAGACATAAATCATCCATGTAAATATTCAAGCATCTCAATACTTAATAAGCTTCCATTTTATAATATCAAGTTCGATTGGTCAGTAATTCAGCAAACAATCTATCATTTAAAAGATTTGTATTGAAAGTCATTTTCTGTTTATACAATATTTTCTTTAGTATCTATTTAATACAGTCTTTCTCACTTCAAAGAGAATAAAATCACTGGCCTAAAATAATGAGAGTTAGTAATCAATCCACACATACATTTTGGTTTTGGTTTCTCTGAAGTTCTGTATTTCTCTATTTCCTACATGTTTACTGGAATCATGACTCCAAACCAAATACAAAAACAGCATAGGAAATGCTGGTGGGGTCAGTTCTCCTCAAGTTTCAAATGTGCTGTAAGTTGCAGAGAATGCTCAGATTTATAATAGGAATATTATTTTTATATACACATGCTGGGGTGTTGGAGAAAGATTTATTTAAAAATAAAAAAGGCCAGGCATGGTGGCTCACACCTATAATCTCAGCACTTTGGGAGGTCAAGGTAAAAGGACCACTTGAAGCCAGGAGTTCAAGACCAGCCTGTGCAACATAGTTTATTGCAGTCTCTAACAAAAAATTTAAAAAGTGATATGTTCCTATAGTCCTGGCTACTTGGGAAGCTAAGGTGGAAGGACTTCTTGAGCCCATGAATTCAAGGTTACAGTGAGCTATAATTGTGTCACTGTACTCTCTAGCCTGGGCTTGAGAAAGACCTTGTCTCAAGAAAACGAAAAGAAAAAAAAAGTCCCCTAACTCCTAGAAAAGAAAAAGCTAATAAAAAACTTTTCCTGGACAATGAAATGCTAGAGAGTTTTATACCACACAGGGATAGTGCCATATCATGTCCTATAGAAGAAGGGTCCGTTTTTACATAATTTAAATTGCAGTGAATATTACAGCATGCCATAAAAATATGCCGGATATACACAGAAATCACAGCAGATAGTTACTGGACAAGAATTCAATCTCATGGTGAAGTGACAGCAACAGCTTTCTGGGAATCAACACAGTGGGATGAAAAGCTGTGTCTTTGGGGCAGAGATCTCTGAATTCAAATTCTAGCCGTCATTTTTCTTAGCAAGGTGACTAAAAAATGACTAGCTATTAGCCTCAGAATCTCATCTTCTTCATGTGTAAAATTGAGATCCTAATGCCTTGCTCATGCAGCTATTGTGAAGATTAAGCGGAATACCGTTAAGTCAGGAGGCTAGCACAGAATAGACACTCAACAAGAATTTCCTTTGCTCTTCTGTCTGTCAAAAATGTCAGGATGGGAGAAGGTGCACTCATTCATCTATGAGATCTTCCCTTCACCCTGAACATTTAAATTCAACAGTGAGACACAGTGAGGAAAGCAACGGCAACTCTTCACGACATTCTAGTCTGTGGTGTGTGATGCTGATGCCTGTATACCTCACACGGACTTAACCAAGCACTTCTTCTGATCACTTTTCTTGTGACTAAATTCATCATTTTCTTCAGATTTCATGTCTCTGGGCATTTTGCCTCATCACTGGTGCCTGTGCCCACAGCAAATCCCAACAGAGGGTGGGACAATTAAGTGATATTGCCCTACACCACTGTGCTATCACCCCCTCCACCAGCCTTTCTCTAGCTGTGCCTGAAAATTCTGCTGCTTCCCGCTGCATTTGCCTGGACATCTTTTCTGTCCAGACCATTTGCCTCGCTGTTGCCCAGTGGTTGAGCCTCAGTTCCACAGACAGATCTACAGCTCAGAGGATGCTCAGTCTTCAAATGCAGCTTTGTACTTGGCAAGGGGTGCTCTTAGCTTGCTGGCTGGTCGTGAAACTAACAGAGCCCAGTCTTTGTGAGTGTGCTTTTAGGACATGAATGGGATAGTTTATGCATTTTTAATGCTCAAGACAACATTAATACCAATCAGTAGTGCCAAGGAAGAGAACTAAAACACTACTTCATGGAATGATAACATCCTCTCTTTGACAAAAAAGCCCATGTGTTTTATTAGCTGCCAATTCAAAAAGGAAACTGCTTCTTAGATAGTTGAGTCTCTATATCTGGAAGAGGGCACGGTATACATACCCAGCCAGTTGTGACTTTTTTTTTCATGGATTCTAAGGTCATTTATCTTAAGGTCTACCGATTGGTTTTCTTTGCTCACTCATTTTCCTTTAATTTAGACAACCAATTATGTGCCTTTTAAGTTTTTTCTTCCTCCATATATACTAGAAACAACTACAATAAAGCATGATATTTCTTTCTCTTAGGATGGCCTTGAAATTCACCATTTTCTGTTTTGGCCCTCCTTTCCTTGAATATGTACACTCAAGGTCATCATAAATCTTATCATTCATTTGGGCAGCACTTGAACAAACGAACCCTTTCCCAATGTTTTAGTAAAATTCTTTGAAACCTACTGTCTACTGCGTGCTCATCCTCCCTCCCCTTCTGCCCTCCACCCCTACCACCTGCTCTCTATATGAAACCTAGAGTGAAGTCTTTTCTTACTTGGATTATTGTGTCCAGAGGATACAAGCTGAGAGTCCTGAAAGAACAAGAAATAGCAATTAATTTTCTTATTTTGACTTTCAAAACCCAAGTTAAATATGAGATCTATTACTGGTCATTCAGAACCAATTCATTGCTCTTAATCTCTACCAGCTACTTTGATGAGAAACATATACATGAAAGTGTACATGTACGTGTTAAGCAGTTCTGGGAATACACTTCACAATCATTTTTATTTTGTATTAACGACTTTTTGTTTTGTTTATTGAGGTGAAGTTCACGTAATATAAAATTAACCATTTTCAAGTGAACAATTTAGTGGCGTTTAGTATATTCATAAGGTTGTACAGGGCCGGGCGCGGTGGTTCAAGCCTGTAATCCCGGCACTATGGGAGGCCGAGGTAGGTGGATCACGAGGTCAAGAGATAGAGACCATCTCTGGTCAACATGGTGAAACCCCGTCTCTACTAAGTATACAGAAATTAGCCAGGCATGGTGGCGTGCACCTGTAGTCCCAGCTACTTGGGAGGCAGAGGCTGCAGTGAGCCGAGATCGTGCCATTGCACTATAGCCTGGGTAACAAGAGTGAAACTCTGTCTCAAAAAAAAAAAAAAGGTTGTACAACCACTACCTCTATCTACTTTAAAATATTTCCATCACTCTGAAGCAAAATCCCTTACCCACTAAGCAGGGTCTCCCCATATCCCTCATGTCCCAGTGCCTTACAACCACCAATTTCCATCTGTCTCTTGGATTTATCTATTCTAGATATTTTATATAAATGGAATCATAAAATATGTGATCTTTGTGGTTGGCTTCTTATACTTCACATAACGTTTTTGAGGTTCGTCCATCCTGTAGCACCTCAATTCCTTTCTATGGCTGAATAATACTGTATCGCATGTATATACAACAATGTGTTTGTCCATTCATCTGTTAATGAGTATTTGGGCTGTTCCTGCCTTTTGGATACTGTAAATAGTACTGCTATGAAATGTGTGTATGTACCCTAGTTCAAGTCCATGTTTTCAATCCTCTTGTGTATATACTTAGGAGAAGAATTTCTAGGTTATATAATAACTTTATGTTAAACTTTTTAAGGAATTGCTAAACCATTTCCACAGCAGTGAAATCATTTTTCAGTCCAACAATGTATGAGGTTCCAATTTATCTACATCCTTGCCAATCCTTGTTATTTCCCATTAAAAAAATTATAGCTATCCTTGTGGGTATGAAGTGGTGTCTCACTGTAGTTTTGATTTGTATTTCCCTAATAACTAATGATGTTGAGCATCTTTTCATGGGTTTGTTGGCCATCTGTACATCTTTAGAGAAATATTTATTCAAGTCCTTTGCCATTTTTTAATTGGTTTGTCTTTTTATTGTTGAGTTGAAAGAGTTCTTGATAGAGTTTAGATACGAACTGTTACCAGATTTATGATTTGCAAGCATTTTCTCCCACACTGTCAATTTTCTTTTCATTTTATCAATGTTTTTTGATGCACAAAAATTCTAAATTTTCTAAATTTAAGATTTTAAAACTTCTAAATAAACTTTAATTTACCTAATTTTTCTTTTGCTGCTTATGCTTTTGGTGTCATCGCTAAGAATCCATTGCCAAATTCAGGGCCATGAAGATTTAAACCTATGTTTTCCTCCCTGATACTTATAGTTTGGGTTCTTATATTTAAGACACTGACCTGTTGACTTTTAATCTAATTAATTTATCTTTGAATAAACCTTTACTTCAACCCACTTCCTATAGATGGGTTTGGCAATTATACCACCAGAAACACTCTATTAAACAACTGCTGTCAATCTCACGATGGTGGATAAAAAGATTACTACAGTATCTACTTATCTGCAATGGAATAAAGCCAGTACTATACAGTATTTTAAGTTTAGTTATTGCTCAAGTAAATAGAGATTGAATTTAATTTTACATTAAACTTTAGTTTGCATTAAAACAAAATTTGAAATCATTTTGAGGATTTACATCCTCTTTCCTTGAAAAATTCTCATTTAATAGAAAATAAACCAAATACCATATTGTTCTTTTAAGTAGGAGTTAAACTATGGGTATGCACAGGCACACAGAGTAATATAGTGTATGGAAATCCAGAAGTGCGAGGACAGGAGTGGGACACGGGATAAAAAACTACATACTGGGTACAATGTGCACTGCTCCCATGATGGGCACAGTAAACTCTCAAACTTCACCACTATACAATTTATCCATGTAACCAAAAACCAGTCATACCCCAAAAGCTATTAAAGTGAAAAAAAATAAAAAATATGAGAGACTTATAAAAGAATGAGTGAACTGAGATGGTAGGAATGTAAACAAAGAACAAATAGCAGGACATAAAATCCAGTAAAACTCCTTTAAAATTCCAGCACATAAAACAAAATCCAGCAAAATTGAATTAACTTCTATTATATAGCTTAACATATTTTACCAGAATTTTGCTCCATGAGTATAGGTTGTTATGGGGTAAGGGATGTCGTTTGATGTGACTTATGTTACACTCAAATCCAAGTACAAATGTCTGTTTTAAAAACAAATTCTACTGAAACAGTATAAAATGAGCCAGTCTGGCAGGCAGAGGTTGGGTGGGAAAATTGAGAGGATAAGGGATTCCCACTTTTAAACAGCTTGAGTCATATGCAGATGCCTAATAAACCTCTTTCAATTATGGTAATAATGAGCTATTCATCTGAAGAAAAAGAACAAGCTCAACTCTCACCCTGAGATTGTTTTTGGAAATGATTATATAAAGATGAAATATTGTTCCTGAAATGATAGACTAAAATATCATCTGTAAAAATGATTTTGGCCTATTTTGGATAGATGCCGTTACTAAGAAGGCATACACAATTAAATCTCCCAAGTAGATTGGTATGTTTTCCTTCTCTTCTAGGGAATTTAAGAGTTTATATGTGTACATAAATTAGTTGTACCTTTGGCATGTGAAAAAAACTTTGAGTCCCATTTAGTTAACGCCTCTGTGCTATCTGTAGATCTGGGCCATTTGGAGGCATCTGTACTAGGGAGGGGAAATACTCACACACCAACAAATGGACAAGAATGGTAACTGACATAGTTTCTAGCATTAAGCTCATTTAAAAAGAAGAACAGAATTTTTTCTAAGACTGTTAACACAAATGGGAAATCGAATTATTTTATTTATTTATTTTTGAGACAGAGTTTTGCTCTTGTTGCCCAGTCTGGAGTGCAATGGCATGATCTCAGCTCACTGCAGCTTCTGCCTTCTGACTTCAAGCAATTCTCCTGTCTTAGCGTCCTGAGAGCAGCTAGGATTACAGGCCTCAGCAACCAGGCCCCGCTAATTTTTTCTATTTTTAGTAGAGACAGGGTTTCGCCATGTTGGCCAGGCTGGTCTTGAACTCCTGACCTCAGGTGATCCACCTGCTTTGGCCTCCCAAAGTGTCAGGATTATAGGCATGAGCCAGTGCGCTCGGCTTATTTTATTTATTTTTTAGGGACAGGATCTTATTCTGTTACCCAGTCTGGAGTGCAGTAGCATGATCATGGCTCACTGCAGCCTCAAACTCCTAGGCTCAAGTGATCCTCCTGCCTTCGTAGCTGGTACTACAGGCATGTGCAACCATGCCCAGCTAAAATTTTTAATTTCTTGGTGTGTACTAATACCCAGAGGATGATTGTTGATCAGACTCTTCAGCAGAAAATGTAAGATGAGCTTACAGATGACCTGAGTTAGGATTATATACCATAAAATCATGTATCTCAGAGATGTAAACTTTAAATTTTAACTAAAACACCTGTGTAATTAACCACTATCATTTCTGTTTTGTGTGGTGGGAAGTGAAGAGAGACTGAAAATGGTTCAAGTAATTGGTATAAAAAACAAAACGAACCTCTGTTGAAGTCTTCTGAAGGAGAGGCAAGAATAAAATCACAGACTGTCCCTAACATACAAGCTCATGTTGCTAGCTGACGTTTTCTTGGCGGTACACTGCAGCAACAAATGTTAGCTCAACAGTAATCGACTCTCACCCCAGTGTTCTAAATTGTGCCACTCTGTGGGTACAAATAATGTCCCAATATCATTCTTACTGGCATTTGGCCAGCCTGCTTGTGGAGGGATCAGCTACCTTACCAGGCCACTCCCAGGTTTTAGTTCCTTTTATCAGATACCCTGATAAGGGTTCCTGGGGCTGCGGTTCCTGAAGGAGCACTGTTCTGTCCAGCCAGCTGTAAAACCCCAGGGGCCCCACATACTATGCAGGACATTCTTCATGGAGCCAGAGCAAGGCTGGGTTCAGAACACAGGGAGACCAAAGCTCCTTTCTCCAAAGGGAATACACACTGAAACCCTTTCCATTTTTGTGTCTCCTGCCACCCCACCCAGGTACCCACATACGTGTAGCTTCTGTCTCACAGGTCTTCTCTCCCCTTGCAAATGTCTTCTGTAGGTAGATGCCTGGGGAAGTCCACCCCTTCTGTGCACTGGTATTGTCCTCCTCTAGGAGCACTCTACTAGGCCTGTAAGATTCTCTATTAGACTTTTTAAGGGTCACAGAAGTGACTCTAGCAAGTTAAGAGTGGAGATGACATTAGAACCCAGGGTTGAAAGTGTGGCTGCCACCCACAATACTTCCAGCTGTGTATCATGTTCTGATCCCCTCCCCCTAGAATGCTCCATCCTGCTGCTTTCTGTTTTCTGCTGGCAAACTTCATTTTTCCTTCGAGGCTCTGCACAGGTAAGCTCAAGGGTTACCCTGCTCTTTGAAATCTTCTTGACTCTAATGTTTTTGCTGCACTGTGTCACACTTCCATTACTATAATTATTTTTCAACAATGACTTTTTTTTAAAAAGTGTAAGTGACATAACACAAACTGCACATATTTAAAGTGTACAATTTGATAACAAGCCCCACATTAGGAAGGCTACTATTATTACCTTCTTGACCCAAGGATGGCTCTGTAACACCTATTCATTAAAGAAAAATTAGCAAAACAGGAAAGTATAAAAAAGTTTCCTGTCATCCCCT